AAGACGGCGATGCCGGTGGTCTTGAAGCATGCGTCGATCGCTTTGTGACCGGGGGTTTTGGGTTTAGGTTTGCTGAACCGCCAATTTTTCGAACATGACCAGAGGCAGGGAGAGCGCGCGTTTTAGTCGGAAAGCGGGGCTAGACCTAGTCGCAAAAGCGACACCGCCACCCGGGAATACGTCACAGCAATCTGTTGCCATCGGAGCCTTGACTGGCCGGAAGGCCGCAGCACTCAATTACCGGCACAGCGATGCATGTATATCTCCCGCAGTCGTTTTGCCTCCAGAACCAACTAGGACCATCCCAGCATATGCCCATCAAGCTTGTATAGAAGGCCCAGCTAGCTGTCTGGACGGATGTCTGGTGGATCTTGCACAAAGGGAGGTTCTCAAATTCACAGTTTCGCTTCGTGTCCGGGGTCTTCGTGCTATGACTATGATTTCCGCACTAGATGTGGTACATATACAGCTTAAGGCAACAGTGCAGACCAAGCAATCCGCCGTGCAATGCTGCGCCGTCGAGCGGAGCTAGTGGACGAGGCGCCACTACCATGAACACCAACTGCCAGTCTTCCCTCGCCTTGGCCGTTTGTTCTGGACATGATTCAACAACCTGAAAAGCGGGAGTATGACAGTGAGGGCCTGGAAAGGCTTCGAATGCGGGAGCAGGGTCGAAACCCCTGTGGCCCCCTCCCCTCGACTCCACTTCGGCGGAGGGCTTCCACACCTAAACGCTCCAAATTGCAAAAGTATCGAGGTATCTACTTCCGCTGCAGCCTATCCAAGGGCTTGAAGCTGCTAGCAGACATTCGTCGCTTTATTCGTGCCCTCGAAGCCACATGATTGCCCCTTGAGATCTCTTGCAACGGGGCTGTGAGCCACCCCATAGCTTCCATTGATGGAGACCTGGTTCTGGGTCAGCTATGCCTGACGGCGCTCTGTAGAGCGGGGGTCTTTCATTCTGCGGGCCGCCCTCAAAAGTAGGTGTGGCATTCTGGGCTTTGCCATATGGTTCGGGGCATCTGGTTCCGCTGCACAGCTGCAGTCAGTCTGTATCACGGCCTGGCATCGGTGTAGTGTGCTGCTTGCGCTGAGCAACGGATCGCTCGGTTCATTTGACTTGTGTGCAAAATCGCACTTACTGCTGCAAGGGGTGCTGATTCCTGTGGCTCATAGTCAGGAAAGCACGGTAAGCTGATCTCTTCAGGAGTTCCCGGAGTCCAGAAGGCCCTGCAATGATGTGGGCTGCCCGTGGCGTCGGCAGCATCCTGGCTGCTGAGGTAAGCGTCCTTACTCGTCTTAGCGGCCGCTGTACAACTAGCGCGACCACTATCTTGATGGCCGGTTCAAATAGCCTTTCTCTGGCCACTCGTGACTGTTTCGAGCTGCACTGTCCCATTATCAGGCAGCAGCATTCGTCGTGCCAGCAGATTCGATCCGTTGGGCCTGCGGTCTCCAATATTGAACTCTAACCCCCAGTCCTCCAACCAAAACAAACCTTGCCAGCCGAACCTCTGTATTCGGGCCTGCTTGGATTCTCACACTGTCCATTCTCTTACGGACTGGCATGCCCCCATCAAGTTGAAAGGGCTTGCTCAGCAGCTCAGCACCCAGTGGCGCAGCTCTTCTTGCAGGCGCTTCATAATATCTCGTGAAGCTGCAATATCGAGGCCCGAATAAAGAATAATACCATTCCTGGGGGTTCCTGATGAGACTTGCAGTACAATAAACATCAATAAACCCCCAAACTCGATGCTAATTATTAAGGCCTCTTTGGTAGCGTCCCTGCATCCCAAACCCTCAACCCTAATGCTTCTGGATTGAGGGGTTGAGGTAGCCTGGAGCCAGAAAAACACTCACCCCAAGCCTCTTGGCCCGCACCATCAGGCCTCCAGCCCCCCAAGCCGAATTTCGAAGCCTGAATCATTCGTGTTTGGGGTTTAGGGTTTAGGGTTTTAATCTTGTCTCCTCAGAAGTTATACATTCAGTAGAATACACCCCAGACAACCCTCTTCAAGCATATTTAAGGCCCAGCGGGGAGCTTCTTCTGGCCAAGGCTTCTCCATGGGCGTGAGAACCACACCACCCTCATGGATAAGCTAAGCGTTTCGGAGGATTTGCCCAGCCATTTTGGAGAGCTGGCAAAATGCGGCTGCTGATCACCAAGACCGTTTTGGATGTCCGCAGACACTTCACACGCAATCCATCGTGGTGAGTCTGGCTCCCTCAGTTTTCGTCGCCTAGACTTCATGGCCTTAAGGGTGCATGATGCTTCGCGTGTCGGTTGAAACTTAGCCAAAAGCATCTCCACTCAAAGCCTGATGTGGGTGGCGATTGCAGGCTGAGGACGTCCACGTCTGTGCATCGGCCCAGCATTCATGCTACATGTAGCCAGCAGAACATGCAGCTGGCCACGCATTTGTCGACAAGGCTCAGAGTCTCAAAGCTGGAACTGCCGCACGTGCCTTTATGCGCTGTGTCTTGAGCGTAGTCGCAGATCTCTCAAGTCCCTGAGCACTGAGGCAGTCAGACCATCGTGTTCGATGGCTGTTGTTGCAAAGTCCTGGTTGAAAATCACTTGAAATCCGGGTCCTCGTGCATGCCTTGCTGCACGAAGCCAAGGGCGCGGAAACGATACTGTGCAATTGCTGTTGCTGCGTCGCTCAGCTTGATCGTGGTGGCTCAATACGGCGTATTTGCAGAATACTCAGCCTTGCTTGCACAACGGCATTACTGCATGTTTCCGGCTGAACTTTCCACAACGAGGGGGTCCGGCTCGTGTAAAGAGGCGAAAGTCGCTCAGCACTCCTTGTGCGAGAGCGCCGACAGGCAGGTAGCTCATGCAGAACCGCGGGCCATTGAGCATCTGTCGCACCGGCTGTTAAGCTTTGTGCTTCAACCGCTCGGCAAGCAGAACAGACAGCATCACTTTTGTCGGACTACGATGGACATCAGCCTGGTGATGCAGAGGCCTGGTGTCACATCGGCGTGGTCCTGTCTAGTTGCTGCGAAGATCCCAACCTCGCCACGAGAATTGCATGGCTCAGCCATGTCTCAGCGTTGGCTACCTCAGAAGTAGTCCGTTGGTGCGCTGGCCCCGTGCAAAGATGATTAGGTTCTGCGCTGGCTCCCATCTTCCCTGACAGGCAATGCAAGCCTTGTTGTGGAATTGAGCTATGCTGACGATCGCAAAACTGCTGTTGGCTAATGTGTGGCAGATCGGATGCTGGCTGCTTTCGAAGACATCTCCCAACGTTCTGTACTGAGGTGGTGTCGCGGCTAGCGTGTGGTGCAGCAAAGTGCTCGTTGATGTCAGATTTCTGCTTCAGACCTTGCTGTGCAAAGCGACGAGCTGCGCGAGGGTCCCGTCGAGTAGCAGTGTCACTGGCGTTTTGCATGCAGATCCAATGATGTGCATCGCATGTGCAGTTTATTGTCTGCGCGCAAGCAGGCATGCCTCCCATCGGGCCTCCCCATCTTCCAAAAGTCTTGTCGTGATATTGAGCTCGCGAATGAATCGGGATTTGCTCTGCTGCCCACTACGCCGGCATACGCTAGTGCGCACCGAGCAACGTTTGGCTGCCTCGGCCGTTCGTGAAAGACCAGTGTTGGCAGATGTTGCGCTGCTTCGATGCAGTTGCGCTAGGTTTCCGCAGGATACAAGGAGTCATAATGAAGCATGATTATGCACGATTGAGATACCACCACTGTCGGAAGGTGCCCAAACCCAGACACGGACACCATGGTGCTGTTTACGGCGATCTGAAGCCTTGTTCTGTTCTCATGCCCCGAGCCAAGCGCACGCATCTGTTCGTCGGGTAGCCGAGTGATGCGGCCTTTCACCACATGCATCATCGCTGCGGGACATTTGCCGTGCACGACTTTCAAAGAGGCGAAAGACTGGAACCTCCTTGTGCGAGAGCGCCGACAGGCAGGTAGCTCATGCAGAACTGCGGGCCATTGAGCATCTTTCGCACCGGCTGTTAAGCTTTGTGCTTCAACCGCTCGGCAAGCCGCAGAGACGACATCACTTTTGTCGGACTTCGATGGACATCAGCCTGGTGATGCAGCGGCCTGGTGTCACATCGGCGTGGTCCTGTCTAGTTGCTGCGAAGATCCCAACCTCGCCACGACAATTGCATGGCTCAGCCATGTCTCAGTGTTGGCTTCCTCAGAAGTAGTCCGTTGGTGCGCTGGCCCCGTGCAAAGATGCTTAGGTTCTGAGCTAGCTCCCATCTTCCCTGACAGGCAATGCAAGCCTTGTTGTGGAATCGAGCTATGCTGACGATCGCAAAAATGCTGTTGGCTAACGTTTGGTAGATCGGATGCTGGCTGCTTTCGAAGACATCTCTCAACGTTCTGTACTGAGGTGGTGTCGAGGCTAGCGTGTGGTGCAGCAAAGTGCTCGTTGATGTCAGATTTCTGCTTCAGACCTTGCTGTGCAAAGCGACGAGCTGCGCGAGGGTCCCGTCGAGTAGCAGTGTCACTGGCGTTTTGCATGCAGATCCAATGATGTGCATCGCATGTGCAGTTTATTGTCTGCGCGCAAGCAGGCATGCCTCCCATCGGGCCTCCCCATCTTCCAAAAGTCTTGTCGTGATATTGAGCTCGCGAATGAATCGGGATTTGCTCTGCTGCCCACTACGCCGGCATACGCTAGTACGCACCGAGCAACGTTTGGCTGCCTCGGCCGTTCGTGAAAGACCAGTGTTGGCAGATGTTGCGCTGCTTCGATGCGGTTTTGCTCGCCTGTCTCAAGTGCTGCACCACACAACGGTCTCAGTTATGAAGTCGATGAGCGATTTTGTGAATGGCTTGATGCAGCACTTGCCACCTCCATTTCGCTGCATTCCGTGCGGCCTGTAACACTCGTGACTCGTTGCCAACTGCAAACATCAGCACCCTGAAACACCGTGCTTGGAGTTTGCTTCCACACAGCCAGCACCATCATCTTTGTCAAACTTCGATGGACATCAGTCTGGCGATGCAGAGGTCTCGCGTCACAACGGCATGGTCCAATGTCGTTGCCGCGAGGATCCAATCCAACCTGGACACGAGAACTCGGCCAAGTGCAGGTGTTCGCTGCCGCTGCAGTGGTTGGCTGGCGTGCTGACCTCGTGCTTAGATCCCATCTTCCCTGACCGGCTATGCAAGCTTTGTTGTGGAATCGAGCTATGTTGGCTAACGTCTAGCGACACGGATGCTGGCTGCTTTCGAAGACATCTCGCGATGTTCTTTACTGAGGCGGTGTTGAGGCTAGCGTGTTCCACAGCTTGTGGTGCAGCCAAGTGCTTGTTGATGTCAGGTTTCTGCTTCAGACCTTGCTGTGCAAAGCGACGAGCTACGAGAGGGTCCCGTCGATTGGCTGTGTCACTGGCGTGTGGAGGCTGCATGCAGAGCCAATGATGTGCATCGCATGTGCAGTTTATTGTCTGCACTCAAGCAGGAATGCCTATGATGGGAAAAGGCTTGTCGTGATATTGAGCTCGCGTTTGGATCGGGATTCGCGTTGCTGCCGCCGACTGCGCCGGCATACGCTAGTGCGCACCGAGAATGGTTTGGCTGCTTCTGACGTCCGTGAAAGACCAGCGTTGGCAGATATTGCGCTGCTTCGATGCGATTGTGCAAGGCGTGCAGTGGGATTGGACCTTGGGCAACGTTCTTGCGAGTTTGGTTGCTCTGCAGCACGCTCAATGAACCGGCCTTGCGGAACAGCGCGCCGATGTGACGGCACTGTTCCTCTCTTGGAGCCGTAGACACAGGTTTTGACTCCTGGTCTTGCTGCTTGTCGACTGACATGGCGGTTGCAGAGCCTGTCAGACAGGTTGCGTGCTGCTTGAGCACAACAGGCGTGGTTCAGGCGTGGTTCTGTACGGAGATTGAGTGCAAGCGTTGTGCGGCCAGCATGAGGCCCAACACTTGGAGTTCTCAGCAAGCCTAGCTTGCAATTGTCATTTGCAGAAGCCACGCTTCACAAGGTTCCTTCCAGCAGCGAGGGATGTTGTCTTGCCCTGCCTTGTCAACATGCTGTAGCTTCAGCTTATCAGTACAGCTGTACAGGAATTCCGAATGTAAGGTCCAAGATTGAAGGCAGAAACCGTATGCCGGGAGGTACGGCAAGCATTTTCACGGCAGGCACCTTAGAGTCTAGTTGACCTTCCGCACCGTGGCCAGCTGGCATCGACTCCCGAGGACAAGCAAACAACACCTCTCACTTCAGAGCGGATACAAATGCCGCAGTCTAGATTACTTGCATTCTGCTGAGCACCCGTGCCCTTTCTCAGCAGACAGTGCTTAAGCAGACAAGGCTTCTTTCAAGCACCTGGGCCTTGTCGGCCTGTCTTTTCCGTTGACTTCATGGCATGCTGCAGCTCTTAACCCTAAATTCATAAACCCTGGAGTGACTTGGATGGGAAGAGCAGGTATGGACGGTGCGGGAGTCTGCAGTGACTGTACCTTTCAAGGAGGACCCTGGCCCAACATGGTGGGTTCGCCAGTGTCAAGGCTTTGTACACAACGGTGACAAGGTGCGGAGTAGCCCGATCCCAGGCAGACCTTGGCTGGTTTCTACTCTGCCTAGTCAGCCTTTTCTGAGCTGGCTACGTCGATAGAACTGCTACACCATGCATCAACACCGACAAATTATTACTCTATCGCAGGATCCGTGATCAAGGCCCCAAACCCAGCATGGATGATGTGAAGCAGCGCAAGTCTGTGGCAATCTGGCACAGAAACACCATGGCACCTTTGCTGTGTTTTTCTTTCCCCCGTTGCCAGGGATCCCATTGCGAGCAGGACCGGTCCCTCTGCTTCGACTAGTATACTCTTGGTAGTCGTAGCAACGGCCGTGGTGACATCACTCAAATTTCTTTACGTTATCAAACCAGAATGTTTTTCTCTCCCTTGCAGGCTTGTTTCAGGTGGAAGCATCCTTGCTGACTAAGTGTACCCGCATGCAGCCCCTCAGAATTCCGTTCCCTAAGCCTGGACCCGAAGCATTGCAGAAAGCTTGAACGTGGCGCAAGGCTTCGGGGCTGCACGAAGGCAGTTCCCCCCATTGACGTTGACGCAAGGCAGCGGCAAAACCAAAGCCCTGTCGTGGGGCCACAGCAGATGAAGGTGTCAGGCCTTGCGAGGCGATGGCAGCAGCTTCGCCGCGGCATCGAAAGCGGATGCTGTAGGGCTTCATCTCCTCTGCCCAGGGTGTGAGATTTGGGGTATGCAGCCCTGAACCCATCTAAACCGTGGATCTCGGCTGAAGTAGCCGCTAGTAGCCTGTCGGCCGCGCTCTGCAGGCGAGCGGCCGTAGCCTCCCACGCCTAGTGAGGCTAGTGGGCCTGGCCCCGACCTCAAGCTGAGATCGCCGGGGCCCACGAAGCATTAGCCAGGAAGAGTAAGCCGTTTAAGCCCATTTAAACCCCAAACCCTAGTGGCACGGTGAGGACTTGGGGCTGAAGACTAGCCGATCACTCCAAGCTTGGTCTCACAGGAGTGGAAGGCACCCGAGCTGGACAGTGCCATGGATCTGCGACCTCCATTCGCAGCTAAGAGAGAGATCGTTGCATCAGACCCGCTTTTCGTTGTCTTTCCTGCACCTGTGACCGTGTTCCGTAGCACCGTGGTCGGGCGTGCACACAGAGGTTTGGGTCAGAAGGCTCGGGGCCCGCGGTGGCACCGCTTGAAGCGGACAGGGACGTCTCCATAAGCAGCGTTTGCAGGCGTGGAAAAAGAATGATCCGACAGCCCGCGGCAGAGGAGAGCTTGGCATGCAAAGAGACACGTGAAGGACGTCCCTGCCGTATCTCTTGCCAGAAGACCAACAACGCCCACTTGGTTGTTACCGGCATGTGATGGTAAAGAGGGTCGGTTCACGGCGTGTGCGAGCCGGCAGGTATGCATCGCGATGTGCTCGTTGGACGAAGCGTCGCAGACTTGGCATTGCGCTGCCATCTGCACATCCCTCGGGACAGCTTCGAAGACCCGCTGTTGGAACAGGGCTGCTGTCCTGGCATACACGCACAGAAAGCTTCCTGCAGGGTTGTCCGGAAGATCCCACATCACAGATCTTGAAGTTCTTGCAGCCTAAGTCTTGCATCCTGCGGCCTTAGAAATGCCTGTGCGAAACGGCTGCGGTACACGCATCTAGGCACAGCAGGTTGAAGAACTTATTTGAGAATGCTGCCTTTAGGATTTAAGGCTCTAGGTTTTTGGTGTTTGGGGATAAGGGCTCAGGGGTTGAGGAGTCAGGGTTTTTGAAGTTCGGGATGTAGACTGTGGAAGATTTCCGGCCGTTTCGACCTCCACTGCCCGTTTGGAGCCTTAAGGCGCCAGCCGCTGCAAGTTGAATTTAAGGAGGACACGTGGCTTCTCTACACTTGCCGCGAGGGGATGCAGCGCAGCCCTTGTACGCTATTCCTTTCTGTTCGGCTGGTTCTCCTTGTAAATTGATGGTGGGTTTAAGAGTGGGGGCTTGGGGAAGAGAGCGGGTAGCCAGATCCAAGATACGATCACTTGTAGTTGCAGGACGACCTCAGTCAGAAAGGAAACGAGTCTTGCGATGAGCCTGTGGAGAGGTAGGCGGTTCTGTGATGACGCGTCCACGCTCGACTTCTGCCATCGGCCTTTCCGTGACAGAGATTCAGATGAGAACGCCCGTTTGCTGGGATGTTGATTTTGCGGGAGTGGGCGCCGAAGCTGTGTGGGGTTGGACCTTGGATCCAGCCGTGTGGTCGCACAAGAGGCGTCTTCGACTAACTCCCTTGTCTTTCTTGAGGGGGAGTTGAAGTCATTGTGAGTCGTCTTTCTTGGATCCCCAGGGCTCAGGCTATTTCCCCCTTAACACAATCTGCTAGAAGGCGGACAGTCTGGAGCAGGACAAGACACCCTGATCCATGTCAGGGTGAATCTTTCCATACTCGGGCCACTTCTGCGGCCTTAGCTCGTGCGGATGGTGGAGGCAATTGAGCCGTGGCCGGTTGCAGCCGTATAGGAGGACGAACCTATCTGTTGATGCTGCGCTGCTGCATTGGCCCTTGTCCCCTCCCTTTACGGCTTCAGGAGTTTCGCCTCCACGGTGTTCCGTTCAAGGCAAGTTCGGTAGCCGATGGGCACCGGCTTGCGGCACCACCGGAGCCGCACAGCGCTCGTGCTCGACGGTTGAAGGGCCCAGGCAAGAGATGAGTCACTACGCGCCTCGAGTTCCATGAAGCGCGCTAGCTGGAACATAGGCCCGATGTGATATGTTTCGACCGCAAGAAGCAAAAAGCTCAGGCAGTCCTTTCTTGAGTTCGACTTGGATCCTTGTGGGGTTTCCTGGACCCCAAGCCCTGAACTCTGAACACGTGACCCTAAGCCGGCTGTCTACTTATGGGCTCCAGTTCTCACACAAGCGACGGGCCCAACGCAGGCCTCAGTTGCTTCGGAGGCGGGATGGGAATATATGTTTGTATATATGTATGTATGTATGTATGTATGTATGTATGTATGTATGTATGTATGTATTTATGTATGTATGTATGTGTATGTATGTATGTATGTATGTATGTATGTATGTATGTATGTATGTATGTATGTATATATGTATATATATATATATATATATATTGAAGCCCCCCCCCCCATAGATCCATGGTTCTTAAGAGCAATGTGTGAGCGTAATGTCTTATAGGTCAGTTCTAGGCAAAATCAAGTACAGACGAAGCGCAGATGAGGATTTCTCAGGGTGTTGCCTTTGAAATTAGCATTTCAAGTATTTTCATTGCGAATAGGGGCCAGAGGAGGATTTCATACGGCGTGGTCTTTAATGTAAGTTTACTAGATGTCATTGCCATACAAGGGATGTCTTGGGCTGTGGCCAGTTTAAATTGGGCTTACGAACGAAGCCCAAAATGACAATTTCTTAGCGGGTGGGCTTCTTATATAAACTCATTCTTCAATATATAAATTATGAAGCAAGCCCAGATGACTGTGACCTCTGAATGTAGGGTCCAATGAGATCTTGTTGCGAACAGGCCCAGAGGAGGGATTGCAGAAGGTGTAGCATTTCAATTTTTGGTTCCAGGCGGGAACTCAGCCCCTGCGTTTTTGGGGTTTTACTGCAGCGACTATCCCATATTTCGTGCCGAGAGTGCATATTTGTGCTATATTTAAGAGATTAGTACCAAACTATATCTTTTGCGGGTAAGCACACGTAAATAACATTGTTTTACGGGTGAGTGAAACGCACGACGTACAAGAATATCATCACGTAGTGCATTCATGAGGTTGTTTCGTTCATGTGTTCACACCCCTACTAATAATAGTACTTTGAAGGGGCCGCATGAATATTGCTAGTATGTGGCCCCTTAACAAATAATATTATTGCAGGGATAAAGACTTTCCTTAGACTTTCTCCTCCATTCAGTTCACCCACGACATGAAGATATTAATCATACATCCGTGTATGACATGAACGGGGAAAAGTACAGCATTTATTTCGATGGACTAAAGACGTCTTTACCCTGTCATGTCTTTAAGAATGGCATTATTAACCCAATCCTGCAGAATCAATTTAATATAATATTTGCGTAAAAGCCCTTAATCTGTTTTTCTATTTTGGGGGAGTAGTTTCTGAAGCTCTATTATGTGTATCCTTGTTTTGGACATCGTTTCATTCATTATCTTGTCCAACTTTAGGGATGTGCCTGGAGAAGCTTTGTGAATTAACTTATGCGAAGACGCTTATTTTATGTAATGCTGCTATATCTTTAGGAAGTGCTTTCGTTAATTTAGAATTTTCTGCTATTTTCTTCACTTTGCGGTCCTTCTATTTATCTTCTCGTTTTATTAGTTTGTACAGTAGATTAAAGAATTTCGTATTACATTAATGATTCACTTTTTAGGTGTCTTCTCTGTCTTCTTACAGCATTGCAGTTCTTTCATCTAATTCTTGGTATTTGCTTGTTTGTTTATCTTGCTTTTCTTGCATTCACACCTTGTCTGGGCCCAGATTTGGCCCGACACGTGTGCGCATGCTTTATCAAACGTGAGAGTGCTGTCTTGGATTTCCTGGTCGGCTGCATAACTTCCCATGGTGTGCATAGGTGGAGTACGACAAAACTCTAATCCTAGCAAGCAAGGCTCATAGAAATTAGTAAACAAACACCCATACCCAAAAACAATACAAAACAACAAAAGCCTAAACATACTAATTTTGCAGGACTCGTGGGAAACTGGGACACCGAAACCAAAAAAAACAGACCAAAAAAACCAATGCCCAAAAACCAAAAAACCAATACCAAAAAAACCAAAAACACCAAAAAAACCAATTTTCCGAGATTTTTGATGCGTAAGCTTATTTCCACACAGCTTTCACAGAGTCCCGGAAAATTGTTTTTTTGGTATTGTTTTTTTTGGTTTTTGTGGAAATTGGTTTTCTGGGCTTTTTGTGTTGAGTTGTTTCGCTTGTCGGTGTTCCTGTTCTCCCAAGAGTCCTGCAAAATTCACATATTTGGGGTTTTGCCTATTCTTTGCAATTCTGGGCCGATTAATAAAACCCCAAAAACGCAGGGGCTGAGAAACCGCTTTGAACCCAATTTTTACATCGAAGACCCCTCCCTGTCCCCTATCCCCTGTCCCTGTCCCTTCTCAGCCAAACCATAAACCCAAACCAGTTTAAGGTGTTACCCTTAAAGCCTGAAGTTCGCGCCGCACCCCAAAAGAAGTTGCCGAATCTTTAGGCTGTCGTGCCGCTGGCATTCCGCATACTGTGTCCCTATAAGGGTCCTCGCACTATGGTTAAGGGTTCAGCGTGTAAAGTTTTGGGTTGTAGGAGTTGGGAAATTGAGGGTTTAGGGTTTCAGCAGACACTAGTCAGATACTGTTGGGCCGAAGTGCCTAAGGACATGGACCTGGGGTGTGTTGTGATGAGGAGCCTGTGCGAACGAACCTACCTTCGAGAAAGAAGGAGCACAAAAACCCGAAAACCAGTGTGCCCAAACCTCTACATGCCATGTTCTCTCTAGGATTATAACATGAACCTACGACCCCCTCGAGAAGGTACATCACTCTTGCAACGCAGCAGACCCGAACAAGAACGCCCACCTCAGAGAACCCTCCATGGAGTGAAGTTCGGGCGGTTGCAGTGACTCCGAAGATTTTGCTTGTGCATTGGTCGTTTATGGTTACTAGATCTTTTTAGGCCCGGAGCCGCTTAGGCGCGACTGTCTGAAACACTCAGCGCGCTTGACAACTTGAAGCCTGCGCTGCCAAGACAGATTTCTCGATTTCTCCAGAGTGGGGCTTGGCTTTTGCCTGGGTTAGCTGATTCACACGCTCATTACACAGCTACTCATACTTGGCAGCTTTCCTTTGCACGCCCCCCCTTTTGGCCATTGTCTAATCTGCGGCATCGCCTACAAGACATACTGGTCAAGCTTCACTCTGTGACCCAACGGGCCCTGGGACCACGCAGCGCCACGCAAGTATTCCGAGATCTCACAAAGCCCGAAGCGTGAACGCACCAAATTGAGTCATGCCTCAACTTGACTTCTGAGTGTGTTTGGCTCAAGTCCGAGTATCATCCTGCCAGACACGCGCAGAGGCTGCGCAGCTGTTGCCCATGCTGGGGCTAACGTGATGTTAATGTTTCTGGAGTTACAGTTGTGCAGGCTAGCCTTAGGCTGTGGTTTTCGTCTGATGTTTCGTGGCCCGGAGGCCTTCAAACGTGAATTGAACCCGCAACTACCCGAAGTCGCTTGCGCCCCCGAACACAGGCAAGTCTAAAACGGTCATCCCAAGCTGGGTGCAGCAATCTCAGGGTCGGGAAAGGTGTGACATGTTTGTGCTTCGAGGGTTGACATGTTGGGTGGATGGACGAGATGTCCGGCGTCGGGCAAACAATGAAGCGCTAGGACTAGCCATGAATGGTCATTTTAGCAAGTTGAGGTGTGTTTCGGTTCTTGGGGCATTCTTGCATGTAAGAGTTCGGATGAAAAGATTGCAACTTTGTACTTTCTACTTGCTTGTCCTGCAAGCGCTTTTGAAACCCCAAAACCAACAGGAGATGGGATATTTTGCCAAGTTCTCCAGCTCCCGCTTTTGCGGCGCTGTGCTCTTAGCCCCGTCCTTGGAGACAAGCTTCATCGGTTGAGGGCTAGGGTGTCTTTGGTTGGGAAGGTTAAGGGAGTTAAGGGTAACATTGCATGCCCCACTTGTTTAAGCCTTCACCCTGAGTCTAATGGTCTTGAAGCATCACTTTTGCACGAGTTGAACCGCTGGAATTCTTACTGTGGTTCTTGAAATGGTTTCTGCAAGAATCTTGATTGACATGCGCCCTTGGTAATGGACTAAATGTCAACGTACCACAAGCATCCTCGCAGCCCTCGAGCAGGAAACAGCAGGCCACCATGCGATAAATGTTCGCGGACAGCCCATCTTGGACGATGAAAGCAATAGGAGCAGAAAATCAGAAAGACTCATGAACATCACAAAACATCATGGAACATGACAAGCATCATGCAACATCATGGAACATCATGGAACATCATCATGCGATTCATTTGGCCAAAAATCGGCCTGAGGCCCTCACGCTTGGGCGAATTTTGTATTCACCGCAGGGCACCCAAGGGGTCAGAGGGACTGGGCTCAAGTTTGGGTCAAGGTTCGCTGAGTTTTGGGGCTTTGAAGCGCTCCGCAGCTTGTGCTTGCACGGTTTCGTGTGGTTGGTTTGGCCCCGGGGGTCATGCCAAATGAGACGAAGAACGCAGCAATCCCAGATGTGTTCGCCGCCTCTTCCGCAACATGGCGTTGCCTGGCATCCCGGATGCCGTCGCGCCAAAGTACGCGTCCTGCACGGGCCCAAGGATTGTTCATTCTTGTTTGGGGCGGGCAGTTGGAGTTCTGCACTTTTCATGGCGCAGGATCTGAGACTAAGGATGTTGAGTCTTGAGGCTTGTCAAGGGTCCAAAAGCGAGTCTGGATAGAAGAAGTCCTGCTGGCCGGTTTCAGGGCCGAGAGCGCTACTTGTAGAGTGTACTGGGCACTTGGCGGCCTGAACCACCAGAAAGAGGGTTGCGACCACAACGCCAGTCCTGCGAAAGGGGGCCGAACTTTGCAGCACTGGTTAAATGCAGGAGACATCTGAGGGGTAAGTGAGGGAGCCGCAGAAACCAAGTCCGTTCGCCAGAGGGTGCAGCGTCGCTTGCTTTGAAGAAGGCTCCCAAACGAAACCACATCAGCAGCAACACCGGCAGGTTCAGATGCTGATCTCATCCAGGGCGCCGACTTCTCAGATGATTCTGAATGAATTCAACTTAAAGTGTTCCGGACCCTGATAATTCTGAGGTTTGGAGGGTTTCAGGTGTGGCTCAAGCCGCTGGGTCCCTGCAGCTACCCAGGTTTTTGTTGCGCATAGTGCAGCAAAGGAATCTTTCCTTTTCATGGGACACGCAAAAGAGACAATGTCTTGGGTTTGGCGTTCGGTTGAGGGCTTGGAGGGTTGGTGCAAGGCTGGCAGCCTGGCAGAGCCAAAAGCCTGCAGACAAGATGCGAAGTCTGCTAAGTGCAACAAGGTCAGCTTGGTGGTGACGGTCAAGGACCCGATGTGCTTGAGACCTTCTCGGCCTCGGGGGTTCGGGTTGAGGGCTTGGGGTCCGGATGGTCCGGGATGTCGGCTTATCTTCCTGGTAGCTGACATGTAGGGACTCCGTCGCGCACGGTTCAGTCAGTTCACACATGCTGGTGCCTGGCGTTCTTGTTGTAGTTGTTGCTTTTGGGTTTAGGGTTGTGGGCATTTTGGGAAAGGACTTGAGGGCATTTGGATATTGGTCCAACCTGTGGAGGAGGTTTTTTGGGACTTCGACTTGCCTGGAAGCAAGAAGACTGTGAGGACACCTGCGCTCAAGCAGAGGAACTTCTGTCCCACCTCGCCACCATTTTCCCGAAGGGCAGGGAACTGAATGAACAGAGCAGGGAGTGTTATCTTCAGCTTCTTGCAGAGCCTTTTGGACCTAGGATGCTCTTACCAGCCAGAGAGTAAGAATGCCAAGAATGCTTTTGTGAAGCAGCATACCTTCGAAACCATCTTCGCCTGGTGCCGGGTTGCATGAGGGGGACGTGCCATCAGCTGCTATCATTTAAAGCGCACGTCAAGGCTTAGGAGAGCCTTTGCGGCTTCCAGAGATTCACAGTCACTGTCAACCCCTCAAAGAGGCCCCTAAGAGGCCTCTAAAAGGCCCCCAAAAAGATCTAAATCTTTCAGCTTCTGCATGGAATGATGGCACTGGCAGCCTTTGGGCTCAAAAGGGAACACCCGTCCCTGTCCGGAACCGTACCGATTCTTGGCTGATTTACCAAGAGCCCCGGTCCAGAACCCCTGATACTTGGAGGTCGCTGCAAAACTAAGGATACAAAAAGGCAGAGTTCTACTTCTTTTCTGCAACAGAAGCCTCAAGAAAGCCCTCAAGTCTGGCCCTCCTTTCTTTGCTCCGGGGGTGGCTCTTGGTTTCCCTTTCGGAGGCTTAGAGTCGGAAGCGGCGCGGAGAGGCTTTTCTTTCCAGAGCTGCGGCTCTCTCAGCTCAGGAACATCCTTATCGAACTTCAGCATTGTTTCCATATGAAGGCCTGCAGGTGCTTGCACGGTTGCGTTGTGCCAAGAGAATCCCATGGGAGCGCTCCATGGAAGCCCCCCACCCCCCCCCCCCCCCCCCCCCCTTGTTCTTTATTTTTCAGGCTGCGCACTCTCGCATTCGGTTTTTGGGTTTTTGCAAGCTTTGGAGACTTTGGAGCATTCTCACAAGGCTCTGTGGCTTGAAAGTCTCCGATGAATCTCCGGGCTCTCCTCACGGCACTGCCTTACGGGCATTTTAGGCGAAGGTATTCCCAGCACCTCTGAAGCTGCACACGTTGCCTCAACAACCGAAAATCATCAACCTGTTCACCGTGGCAGATGCAGCTTTTGTCCCTTCTGGTGCTGTGCGTCGGCACGGAGGGCTTCCAGCGATCCAGGCGAGAACCCCACAGTGTGCCCGCTTTCCCCTCGGTAGCCTGGTCTCGTGATGTGTGGTTTCCTGTTGCGTCGGCATTGACCATGACTGAATGAAAGAATAGTCAGTTGTGTAGGTGGTTGCCCTTGCATGTGTTTTAGCCCCACCATGTGTTTCAGCCCCAAATGCTCAACCCAAGACCTACAAACCGAAACTGGAACCGGTCGCCCACCTCCTAGGTCTAAAGCCTCTTTGCAGTTGCCTGGCAGGCCCCGAGCGGCCCACTTCATGCAGGCCGGGTGCCTATTCCATTCAGGAGTGCCGGTAAAGATATTTTTTGGGGGGGGTCGGAGAAGCCATCTCAGACCTAGCTGCCGGCGCCGAATCCCTGAGCCGAAGTTCTCGATCCCATCAGGATTCGACTTGGGTTCAGAGCTTGCAGTACTTGCATATCGGTTCAACTTCATTGGTGCGGCAAACAATGAACAATGACAATTGACCCATGCCCCTTCAAGCCCTTCAACCATCACTCTCACTCTCGAAGCCTTGACTGGGGGGCGGGGGGTCTTTCGGGAATGTGGGCTTCGAAGACATGAAGATCAACAAAATTTAACATTGTATGCGATGTATGATGCGCTTTTGCAGTACATGTGCGCTTAGCATACAACCCATACCTGGCACAACTTTGGTAATGCGGTGTGCTTGCCGCCCTCAGCTCCTTGCAGAAAGTGCCATGGCCCAAGGTGCATGAAACCGTACAGCACCTGGACGTAAAGCAGGCTGGATGCAGCTTTGGGACTGTCGCCCTTTACTGCTTCTTTGGGCCAAGTCTTCAGAAGCAGTGGCACGACTCTCGTGACAAACCTGAACACAGGCCCGAACTTCCCCTGCAACGCTTCAGAGTGATGCTTGTAGCTAGTCGTCTAAACCAGCCAAGTTATGTAAGCCTCAGCAAGCAATGCTCGATTGATCTGTAGTGATCGGCTTGCAATCCCTAAGCCTAAACCACAACGAGGTGATCGAACCCTAAACAGCATGGCCTGACAGATGGTGAGCACATGTGGAGCCTTTTCGCGACAGATTCCCTCCTGTGAGTATGTGCGGATACGTGGGTGTAAGCTCGTCACTGGAAAGAACAGATCGGAAACCCTCACAAGTAAAGCGATCCGGCCTTAACCACAAGCCCTGCCAGGCTCCTTCAAGCACGCTCTCCGAGGCCTCTTACACGGATCCGGTGTCTTCTGCAGGGTGAGTAAGCGTGAGGGTAGGACGGCTAAAGCCTTGTTGGGCGTCACACGCCAACCCAAGGGAGAGTGAAGTGAAACACATCTCAGAAGCCCTTGGCTACCAAGCGTATCATGCGAAAGACAGCCCTGGCATCTAGCTCCTTGACACGTAGCCTTTGTCTCTGGCTCTAGCAGTTATCAGGGTGGAATGACAGGCGAACACAGGTCAAGGGTCCGGAAGTAGTTGCCCCAAGAAACTCCAAAGAACCTTCGATTCACGACTTTGAGTGAAGCCTCTGACAGAACCTCCGCATCAACGCATGGCACCACCCATCATGCTGTGCGATGCCAACCGGCAGTACCTTCCGGAGCTTTCCTGTCACACTTCAGCTAGGCCGTCGAGGATGCCACAGCGGCTGCCAAGGACCGTAGCATCTCAGTGGGGTTGCTTCTTTCGAAGGGGTTGGTGCTTCTGTCAAAGGGGTCGGGTCAGGGGTTGTGGTTGCGAGTTGTGGGCTTGGACTGGTGGACGTAATTCAGAGCAGCCGGAGACAATGAAACCTTGAGATCCCTAAAGACCTGAGCTGGTAGAAGGCCATTTGGAGCGGAAACTCCGGCCAGGCACGTGCGGTCATGGAACCCCCCCACACCTTTAAGTTGGCATCTTTGGGCAAAAAGTGTGGTTTTGGGGTCGCCGCTATGACAAAATCAGATCTCCCGCAGCCGATTGCAGGGCTTACGTTGCGTGCGTCCGGTTTTGGGGGTCGGGAGGGCGTTGGATGCCGGAGGTAGCAAGCCAGGGCGCATTACGCTCCCGGCAAAGTAATTATACGCTTCAAATGTGAGGCAAGCTCCTATACCCTGAAACCCCATCTGGACCCGGATCTGCCGGGACTGGGAATTCCAGGCTCCTCCAAGCGCAGTGCCGGTGCTGGGGTGTTGAGGTGACTAGTGTGGGTGCGTCTTGCATTTCTGCTTACTGCAAGCTGCAGCGGGTCCTGAGACCCGGGGAAGAGACTTGCATCAGCAGCTTCTCACTTGCGATGAAGTGCGATGTATGTCCCACCAGGGTTAAGGAAACATTCAGGGTCATGCGCAACACCCAGGGTCAGGATGCATGCTTCTTCAGAAATTGAGTATTGTTCAGTCAAAACATTGCTTGCGCTTTTTGGATGCTTTTGGCACCCCGCGTCGGTTGGCCAAGCGAGGCGGTCTTGAGCAACCACAGACTCTCAGAGGCCAGCATGATTGGTTTGGGAATGTTTTTGGGTTGGGCCAGGGCGCAAGGTTCGGGCGATGGGGGTGGCGGGTTTGATGCTTGTGGGGAGTGCTGGGGTGCTCTGTGCAGGCAGTTGCTGGACGGCTACAGCTGCTAAAGCATTGTTGGGCGTCACACACCAACCCAAGGGAGAGTGAAGTTAAACACATCTCAGAAGTCCTTCGCTACCAAGCGAATCAAGCAAAAAGACAACCTTTGCATCTAGGTCCTTGACACGTAACCTTTGTCTCTGCAGGAGTTATCAGGACACAGCCTCCGCCAACCTCTGTCACACTTCCTTCATGGTTCAAGTGCTTTGCAGCTAGGCCGTCGAGGATGCCACAGCAGCTGCCAAGGACCGTAGCATCTCAGTGGGGTTGCTTCTTTCGAAGGGGTTGGTGCTTCTGTCAAAGGGGTCGGGTCAGGGGTTGTGGTTGCGAGTTGTGGGCTTGGACTGGTGGACGTAATTCAGAGCAGCCGGAGACAATGAAACCTTGAAAACCCTAAAGACCTGAGCTGGTAGAAGGCCATTTGGAGCGGAAACTCCGGCCAGGCACGTGCGGTCATGGAACCCCCCCACACCTTTAAGTTGGCATCTTTGGGCAAAAAGTGTGGTTTTGGGGTCGCCGCTATGACAAAATCAGATCTCCCGCAGCCGATTGCAGGGCTTACGTTGCGTGCGTCCGGTTTTGGGGGTCGGGAGGGCGTTGGATGCCGGAGGTAGCAAGCCTGGGCGCATTGCGCTCCCGGCAAAGTAATTATACGCTTCAAATGTGGTGCATGCTCCTCTACGCTGAATCCCCATCTGGACCCGGATCTGCCGGGACTGGGAATTCCAGGCTCCTCCTAGCGCAGTGCCAGCGAGCCAGCCGAACACTACCGAGGCCCCTTGTGTGGATCGAGCACGGCTTGTCTGTTTTGGGCTGAGGGTTGAGGTCAGTCTGTGGTGGGTTCGATGGTGTCAGCCGAGTTTCGCGGGAGGGCGTGCGGGGCGGCAGGCGGGCAAAGACTTGCAGAAGGCGGCCGAGGCCCGCAGCAGCTGAGGATTCATGGGTTCTGGGGCGGGGGCAGGGCGCAACTAGCGTTTTTCCGAGGCTTTGGGGTGCTGGGGTGCTGAAGCGACTAGTGTGGGTGCGTCTTGCGTTTCTGCTTCCTGCAAGCTGCAGCGGGTCCTGAGACCCGGGGAAGAGACTTGCATCAGCAGCTTCTCACTGCGATGATGTGCGATGTATGTCCCACCAGGGTCAAGGTAACATGCGGGTTCATGCGCAACACGCAGGGTCGTGCGTGGTCACATACGTGCAGCTTGAGATGCATGCTTCTTCAGAAATTGAGTGTTGTTCAGCCAAAAACATTGCTTGCGTTTTTTAGATGCTTTTGGCACCCCGCGTCGGTTGTGAAGTCTTGGGGTTCTGGAGTTCTGGAGTGCATGGTGCCCAGCGAATGCATGAGAGACGGAGACCCGGAGCCTAGATCTC